CACCCATAACTAATCACCGATCTGAACTGGAACCCAGATGCAGATAGCTGGAATACCAGCATGGGACTGATGCAGACCCAAGGAACATGGGTTTCTGTGAGGAAACCTCAGAAATCTACAGGACCTCCTGTAGAAGCCCAGTATTTAACCAAGGTGTGGACTTTGGGAGCCCAGTCCATGTAGAGGAATACTCCCTGAGCCAAGACACATGGGGGTGGGCCTAGGCCCTCCCCCACAGGAAACGAAAGACTCTGATGACACCCTATGGAAGGCCTCACCATCCAAGGGGAGCAGAGAAGATAGGTGACAGATAAGGTTTTTTGGGGGGCGGGTAAGGGAGGACAGGTGGGAGAAGGGAAATGGGATTTTCATGAAAAACAATCCTGTTCCTAATTCAAGTAAAAAATGTTGGAAAAAAATAAAGCTGAAAGCAAGGTTTGTTAGGTAGCTGTAAGTAGAGGAAACAAAAATTTTAAATGGAGCACAAGCTGGGAAACAGTATGGGACAAAGTAGTAATTTTCTAGTAAAATGATAGGATATGGATTATTTGTTCCTATTTCCAATAATCTTGTTGACTTTTAGATCTTACACTGTCATTTGAAGAATATTTATAAATGTGGTCCTTGGTAGTCAATGATTAAATTAATGATTAATCCACCAGTCTCTAAAATATAGCCCTAGTAATGCTAGCAACCTTGAGAAAGAAAATAGGCAGCAATCAAACAAACTCTTAGGTTGCAGATTGGAGAGTTTGTATAGGCACTGATTAGTCTGTTGAGATCACTTTTCATGGTCTTTTGAAATAGATGTCATTTGGTGTGTTCCTTTCCGTGCTAAAGGAAAAGGTTGCCATTTTTTTTCAATTCTTTTCATTTGTAGAACTTTTCCAGTAAGAACTGGCCAGTCCATCTAACCTGTCCCTAAACAGTTGCTTGGAAATGCACACAACTTGTTCTTAGAGAAAAATTAAATAAAACAAAACAAAACAAAAAAAGCATCCATATAAAGGAATTATTGATAAAAACAATTTAAAACAAAAGCAAATAGATTTTGGGGTTTTTTTTTGTTATGTACAGAAAATTCTGATCTGCTAAATGTTTACTTTGAAGGGAGGTTAAATCACATATGTGAAAGAATATAATGGGCATGAGCAAGAAAATAAAGTTTTGAAAGAATAGTGACTTGCCCAGAAGAAATGACTGGAAATAACAAATAGACTAAAACAAAACTCAAAAGGAAATCAATGAAGGTTCCATACCATTATTTTAGACTATTATTCTCTTTGCTCTTCTAATATTTGGAAAATAAAAACAGCTTTACAGTTTTGAATAATCTAATTGGCTTAGAACGTATAAAGTCTGATTGCTTTTTGTGGTCTGGAGAAAATTTGTGACAGCCATGTTTTCATCTTTTAATGGGTGAATTGCTGAATACTCAATGCTTTGGAATACTTAATTCAGAAAGACGAAGTAAACAATATATAAATATCAAGTAACTCAGAGAATAAAAGCAAGTAACAGATAGGCAGACATATATACAAAATATCCAGTGGAAATTGGCTAAGTGAGCCCAGTAAAGGCAGCCAGCTAGAGTTCCAATAGAGGGAATCCTGTGTAGAAAAGTTGTGTCTCTGGTGACACATCCAACTTGAAGGTTACATGAGCCAGTTAAAGCCGACACTGAGGGGAAGTCAAGAGGGCAAGTCCTGAGATGTTTACAAAAAAAAAAAAAAAAAAAAAAAGGGTGACTGTTTGCCAAGATCAAACCAGATAAGGTCACTGCATGAATGGCTCGTGTTCACTAGTAAAGCATAAGGCGCCTAGGCTCATGATAGGCTGACCGTTAAAACCATTAGCTGGCTGTTTTTCTGTTTTTTTTTTTTTTTTTGCTTTTAAAGATGCTTGCTGTGGGGCAATAAATGAGTTCCTGCTTGACTAGACTCCCTGCTGCATCTGATTGTCTCTGAGATCCTAGGAGGCTGCCCCTCAGACCCAAGTCAGCCTCCTGTGGTTGGGCTAAGACCCTGCACAACTAAGAGGAAGCAGCAAAAGATACACAGTTTAATCAAATCATATACAAAAAATCCAATGGAAATCTACTGTTCAAGTTGCAACCATCAGTTGTGGTTCTTAATTAGGTGTTTACTCCACACATGAAGCTCCCATAGTTAAATGTCTAGTATCTTCCCTACTGCTGGTGACTTTATATCATAGTGTCTACAATAGTAACCCGCGTTGGAAATACTTGATCCTCCAACTGTTACCAACTGCACAAACTTTCACACATGAGTTGTTTCACATTTCTGATCCATTCTCTTCACAGTGGCCAATATAGACCAATGGCTTTATAAGATATTTTGAGAACAACAATCTTGAATCTGAAATGAAGTATGGAGGGAGCAATCCTATATCCAGAGCCAACTCTCCATGGAGCTCAAATAACACATGACAATTTCCAATGTACATGATAGGGAGGAATTTTAGTGAATTCACACTACTATGAGTGCAAAATTATTTTATGACACCAAACTACCATACTACCTATGATCACTGTTGTTCTTAGTCTTTATTAATTATCTCTTAGTGAGTCCTTTTATTAGTTAATTTTGTTATTTGACAACTTTGAACATGTATATAATACATTTTGTTACTCTATAGTCTGTCTTATCTCTCTCCCACCCCTGCTTACCTTTCCTCATCACTTCCTTTTCCACAGTCTTGACTTTTGGTTATGTTTTATGACTTACTTAGTTTAACCAGGGCAATTGTTGTGACCATTGAATTGGATGTATTATTAAGAGTACTCTTATGTAATTGATTTATTTTTAATCTAAAAATATTTTATACAAAATAATATGGTCATATTTTCTCCTCCCATAGTTCCTCCCAAATCTTCCCTACTTCCTTCCTCATCTAACCTCTTGTTCTCTCCCACAAAAAGAGAAACATTTAAAAAGAAAAATATGTAAAAGTGAAAAAGAGACACAAACTGTTTAAAACAACATCAACAGAATAATACAAAAATACATGCCAAACAAAACAAAACATAAAGTGCACACCTACCCAACAAATATTCTCTATGGAGACCATTTTGTATTGTCTAACTGCTGCAGGCCATTTTTCTACTCCAAAGTGTCATTAATATAATAAATACAGTGACACTTTGTTAGAAAAAAAAAACCTATTTTTTCCATTTCTTAGCAGGTATTAATACCAAATAGCTTCATGATTAGGGATGGGACTCTGATTCCACATCTCCTTTTCTGTACTGGGAGTTTGTTTGGGTTTAATTTGTAGTGTAGTTTGTCATGCTACAGTTACATGACATATGAAAGGATAGGATGTAATAAATCATGATGACTCTGTACCTCAAATTATTTATCATGTCTCATCCAGTCTCAGAGATGTTCCCATATCAAGGCGTCAGCTTATACATCAAATGCCTTGCAGTTTTTCTAGGCTTATTTATTTATATCTGTATCCAAGATTTTCAGGGTGTCTCTTCCAAGCAAATCTGGTCTCTATTAATTTTGAAGGATCCACAGTCTTTTACTTCCTGTGGAAACAAAAGTACAACTTCTTTACCAAAGCAATTCATTTTCTGAATTACATTTTAAAGTCAAGACACTCCTTAAGTATCTAGGCTAGTTTATTCCAGCAATTCCTTTTACAATCTCAAGACTGTCAACAGCTTTTGTTCACCAATCAGCATTCAATGAAAATTCAAAGTCTACAAAGCACTATACAGGATCCAGACTTCCTGTGTATTTCCTATCTTTATGTGGCTCTTTTATATTATTGTATTCTTTGTTTAATTTTTTTTTAAATATTTGCTTTTCTCATGACTGTCTATACCCATTTTCCTTTCTTTCTTAAGCACTTACACACACTGCAACCTGTTTGAAGGTTTTCTCAGCCTGGGCCTGTTTTACTGTGCACCTTTAGTGAGTCAAACCTTAAACTGCTAAGAGGCAGCTAGGCCCTCTGCCTTGCAACTCTAGCTATGGCTCCGTCTCCTCCGTGGGTCCATTACAGGTGAGCCTTAAGCCTATAGGCCTGGCCAAGAGCTGCATTTAACTGGGAGCTGTGCTTAACCAACAGCTGCATTTAACTGCAATAGCTCTAGGAAGTTGGTGCCCAAGCTGTGGGAGGTATTGCATGCTAGGTGCTCAAGTGCTCCACTTCATAGCAGCACCTCTTAAAGGATCCATGTCCTTTTTCTCTTTCCTTCCATCTTTCTTTATCTCATTTGTCCTTTCTTTCCTTTCTTTCTTTCTTTCTTTCTTTCTTTCTTTCTTTCTTTCTTTCTCTCTTCAGCTTTTTCACGTCCTATGTGAAAATTTGGGTCTCATGTTGGGTGCCATTTGTAGTTGAAATTTTCTTTGGGATGCCAAATAACTCCCAAATAAAGGCATTATGAATGCCTGGTCTTAGCTTTTGCTTGTCTCACTAGCTCTTTTAACTTAATTTAACCCATTTCTATTCATCTATGTTTTTCTTGGGACTTTTTGCCTTTCTTTCATTCTATATGTCTGTATTTCCTACTTTCTTGTTTCCTCCATGTCTTCCTGGCTGGCCTCTGGTATCTCCCAGGCATTTCTTTTATTTTTTCTTTCTTTCTTTCTTTCTTTCTTTCTTTTCTTTTCTTTTCTTTTCTTTTCTTTTTCTTTCTTTTTTTTTTGCTTTCTTCGTTTGAGCTTAAATTCCTCCTCTTGCTTACTCTTCCTTCCAGGAATGCCACAGACCACCCCAGCTGAATATGGGAGTCCCTGGGATGAGAGTCCTCAATGAATAGGTAGGTAAGGATTCGGTTATGACAAACAGAAACAAACACAGAGGCAGTTTGAATCTGAGTGTATTTTGCAATTCTCAAATAAGGTTTTAAACAGAGATATTTTCTCAGGGAATGTTTTTCTTAAGCAAGCCCAAACATATGATATTATTGTTACTTGACACAGTCACATGAAAACATAGACTCATCCAGGGTTAATCAAAACACAAAAATTTCCTTGATTAATCAAAACATAGGACCATCCTTGATTAACATAGGATCATCCAAGGCTAACCACATATTTCTTAAATCAAATTAATATAATTTTATGATGAGTTATTGTTTAACATACATTACATAATTCTTGTGAGTTTTTGAAGTATTGAACTATTTTAAGTCTTATTATAACCTTTTATTACCAGACATTTAAACCCACTTTCAATGACAGGTGTACAGCCATATGAAATTTTATTGTTGGGAAAGTTTTTAGTATTTGTACTTATGTGAATGACGTGAATGATTTGGAAAAGGGCTGGTTTTTCCTGAGTTGAGGCCATGGCTAGTGACCCCATATTAACAGAAGATACGTAATCTGTGAGGTTGAGATATCTTTTATTAGATTAACACCAACCAAACGCAACCCAGAGTGTGCCAGGGGCAGCAAGGCAAGGGAGGCCAAAGAGAGAGGGCCCATGTGCCTTGTCTGTCCCTTTAAACCCTATCCCACATCATCCTGACATTACCTTGACCATACCCTGATGGGCATGGTCAGGGACACCTGTAGCCAGCTTCTAGAAGACATGGCTTACATTTTCCCCTACAACCCCATCTTAGGATATGGTTTCTTATCTATTTTTTTTTTGAAAACGTCAGCATAGGCTTTTAGGAACATTTCGTTAATGTGTAAAAAGAAATGGAAGAATAAGCAGAAATTTCCAGGAGAATCACAGCCCAATATTTTTCTCTGGCTGAGAGTTCCACACCGTTTCCAGGAGACCTCCTTCTTTTGAAGTTATTGCCTTAGTCTGTGGGACTTGTCACAGAGAATCTACTGGATTTGGTGTGGCAGAGGAAGTTCTGCCTATTCCTCCTACCTCACTATTGGCCATTCAGCTTTTTATTAGACAGTCAGGTAATTAAGGCAGGCAATGTAAAACAACAACACATCATTACATAGTTAAACAAATGCAACACAGATTTACATAATTAAACAGACATTCCACAACATAAACAAACACAATATATCTTTCCATATTTATACAAACATTCTACAACATAAACAAATAAAGCACATCTTTACATACTTAAATGAATGCAACACTTACTTACACAGGTATGCAAATGCACCACATCTTCAAAGATTTGAGCAAATATTCTCCAACAGTGTCTTCTAGGCCAGTTGGAAGAATAAACTTCATTGGCTCAGGTACAGGCCACACCAATTGGAAGAACGGGTGTTTGATCTGTCTTCAAGCCAGGTGATCTATTCCCCAGTTCCTAATCCCCAGCAGACATCCAATAGCCCCACTCCCATCTCAGGACATATACCACTGCTGAGCCCTGCCCCCAACTCTGGCAGAATTCCACTGCTTGGTTGTAGTGCAAACCAATTGGAGAAGCAGATTTCTTCAGTTTAATTATAGTCCTCACCATTTGAAAGAAGAGATACCTACCAGAAAAATAAGAAAAACAGGTCACACCAGTCAGAAGAAGAGATACCCACTGCTGTGCCAAAAGCCAAGCTACCCACCAGAAGTCCAGCTCGCAACTATATGCCAGGGAGAGACTGAAGAGGTTGGACATATGGTAGAGAGTAGAGTTAACCCAGCTACATGACAGAATATAGATGAATAAAAGCAGGATAATTTAAGTTATAAGAGCTACTGGCACAAGCCTAAACTTATGGCTAAGCTTTGTAATTAATAAGAAGTCTCTGTATCATTACTTGCAGGATGGTGGTTCTGCAAAGTCTAATGAGAATGCTTACTACACTAAAAGATACCACCAGACCCCAGCTACTCTACAACAGCAAGAAATGAATATTCCAAGGCACCTGAAACACAAGAAAATGACTTTTAAAACACTTCTTAAAGATTATAGAAGTCCTTAAAGAATAAATGAAAAACTCCCCTAAAGAATTGAGGATAAAACAACCAAAAAATTGGAGGAAATCAATAAAACCCTTGCAGAATGCTAAGAAAACCAAGAACAAACAAACAGGTGAAAGAAAATATTCGAGACCTGAAAAGCAAAGTAGGAAAATAAAGAAAACAAAAGTAAGGGAATTCTAGAAATGGAAAATCTGGGTAATTGAACAGAAACTAAAGGTGCAATCATTAGCAATACAAATCAAGAAATGGAAGATAGAATCAGGCACTTGAAAACATGTTAGAAGGAAAGATTCATTGGTCCAAGAAAATGTTGAATCTGTGAAAATCTCAACACAAAACATCCAGGAATTCTGGTACAATATGGAAAGATCAAATAATAATAGGAACAGAACAAGGAGAAGAATCCTAGCAAAAATCACAGAGAATATATTTAACAAAATCATAGAAAAAATTTCCTACTTTAAAGAAGGATATGCCCACAAAGATACAAGAAGCTTAGGGAACATTAAATAAATTTAATCAGAAAAGAAAATCCTTATATTACATAATAATAAAAAAACTAAACATACAAAGGAAAGAAAGAATATTAACATTGCAAGGAAAAAAATCCAAGTAACATAAATTCAGACTTATTAGAATCACACATAACTTCTCATCAGAGACTGTAATAGCCAGAGGGGCCAGGATTCATGTCTTGTGGAATCTAAGAGACCACAGATGCCAATCCAGACTATATACAAAGCAAAACTTTCAATCACCATATATGGAGAAAACAAGATGTTTCATGACAAAAACATATTTAAATACTATTATTCACAAATCTGCCCCTACAAAAGACACTAGAGCAAAAGCTCTAAACCAAGGAAGTTGGCTACACCCAGGAAAACACAAGCAATAAATAATCTCACACAGGCAAAACCCACACACACACACACACACACACACACACACACACACACCCATCACCACCATCAAAACAAAAAAGAAAGAGGAATTAACAATCCCTGGTCAAGAAAAAAATTCCTTACATCCTTAACCAACAGGGAAATGTAAATCAAAACAATTCTGAGACACCATCTTACTCCAGTCAGAATGGCTAAAATCAAAAACACCAATGATAACTTATGCTGGAGAGGATGTGGAGAAAAGGGAACACTCCTCCACTGCTGGTGGAAGTGCAAACTTCTACAGCCACTTTGGAAATCAGTATGGTGATTTAGTAGGAAAATGGGAATGAGTCTACCACAAGATCCAGCAATTCCACTCTTCAGCATATATCCAAAAGAAGCACATTCAACAACAAGAACATCTGTTCAACTATGTTCATAGCAGCAATATTTGTAATAGCCAGAAACTGGAAGCAGCCTAGATGCCCCTCAACTGAAGAATAGATAGAGAAATTGTGGTGCATTCAATCAATGGAGTACTACTCAGTGGGAAAAAAAAACAAACAATGGAATCTTGAAATTCACAGGCAAATGGATGGAACTACAAGAAACCACACTGAGCGAGTTAAAGCTGGCACAAAAAGACAAACATGGCATGCACTCACTCATTTATGGATTTTACAATAGAAAAAGGATTACTAGCCTACAATCCATACAACCAGAGAAATTAGGCAATGGGGAGGAATCTAAGAGAGAAATACATGGTCCCCCAGAGACGGGGAAAGGGACTAGATCTGCTGAGCAAATTGGGAGAACTGGGGTAGGGGAGAGCGAGCTAGGAGAATGAGAAGGGAAGAGGGGAGAGGAGGACATAAGGGAGCAAGAAGGTTGTGTAGGGGGAAGACTAGAGGAGAGCAAAATAAGAGCTACCATCAGAGAGGGAGCCAGTATAGGTTTAAAGAGAAATCAGGCACTAGCTAAATGTACAGATATCTACAAGAATGACACCAACTTATCATATAAGCATCAGGCTACCTTAAATGCCCTCTCCTGATAATGAGAATGATGACTAACTTATATGCCATTCTAGAGCATTCATCCAGCAGCAGATGGAAGTAGAAGCAGACACCCACAGCTAAGACTGAACTGAACTGGAATCTAGGTGCAGAGAAGGAAGAGTGATAAGCCAAGGGGTCAAGACCAGGCTGGTGAAACTCTCAGAAAGAACTGACCTGAACAAGGGGGATCTCTTGACCCCCAGCCTGATCACTGGGAAACCACCATGGAACTGATAGAGACCCCGTGAATGTGGGTGTCATTGAGGAGGCCTCAGATATCTATGGGACCTCTTGTAGTAGATCAGTTCTTATCTCTAGCATATTAATGAACTTTGGGAGCCCATTTCACAAAGAGGGATACTCCCTTAGCCTACACACAAGGGGGAGGGCCTAGGCCCTATCCCAAACGATATGACAGACTCTGAAGAACCCCCCCCCATGGAAGGCCTCACTCTTTCTGGGGACAGAAATGGTATGGGATAGGTAGGGTGTTAGCAGGGGAGGAGGGGAGGGAAAGGGAACTGAGATTGACATGTAAAACAATCTTGTTTATAATTTACATAAAAAATTGAGAAAAAACAACAACAAAAAAACCAATCTCTGGTCATTAATATCTCTATCACTGGACTCAAAGACACAGGCTAACAGAATGGATACGAAAACAGAATCCATCTTCCTGCTGCATAGAAGAAAGACATCTTAGCATCACAGATAGGCATTACCTTAGAGTAAAGGGGTAGAAAATATTTTGCAAGCAAATGGATTGAAGAAGCAAGCTGGTGTAGCTATCCTAACACTTAACAAAATAGACGTCAAAAATTTATTAAAAAATAGATGGAGAAGGATATTTCATACATATCAAAGGAAAAATCTACCAAGATAATGTCTCAGTTCTGAATATCTATACCTCTAAATGTAAGGGCACCCACATTTTAAAAGGTAACATTACTACAGCTTAAATCACACATCAAATCCCACACAGTAATAGTGGGAGACCCCAACACCCTATGCTCGGTAATGGACAGGTTGTTCTGACAAAACAACAATGAACAGAGCATTAATAGAACTAACAGAATTTTTGACTTAAGTAGACCTAGAAGATATCTACAGAATGTTTTACTGTAACACAAAAGAATATACCTTCTTCTCCTCAGCACCACAAGGAACCTTCTCCAAAACTGACTCTGTCATAAGGTAAGTCTCAATAGACAGGAAAAAACTGTATCTTACCAGATCACTATGGACTAATGCTAAATTTCAACAACAATAGAAGCTAAAGAAAGCCTACAAACTCATGAAAACTGAACAACTCTCAACTGAATTACCACTGGGTCAAGAATGAAATTTAAAAAAAAAAATGAAGACTTCCTAGTATTCAATGGAATTGAATTACAAAATACCCAAAATTTTGGGACACAATGAAAGTGGTGCTAAGAGAAAAGTTCATAGCACTAAGTGCCTGCATAAAGAATTTGGAGAAATCTCATACTAGTTACTTAATAGCACACTGCAGAAGATTAGACAGCAGGAAGTAATCAATAAAATAGAAACAAAAAGAATAATGCAAAAAATCAATGAAACAAAGAGATGGTTCTTTGAATCAATGAGATAGACAAATCCTTATCCAAACCAACTAAAAGACACAGAGAGAATTTTCAGATGAACAAAATAAGAAACATAAGGGTGGATGTAACAACAGACACTGAGGAAATCCAGAGAATCTTCAGATATTATTTAAAAAACCTGTACTCCACTGAATTGGAAAAATCTAAAAGATACAAATTTCTTGATGGATGCCACTTAGCAAAACCAAATTAAGATCAGATAAAATAATTAAGTAGATCTAGAACCCCTAAGGTGACAGAACCAGTTTTTAAGTCTCTCAACTAAAAGAGCCCAGGGTCAGATGGTTCCAGTGCAGAATTCTAGCAGATTTTCAAAGAAGAGCTAATACCAATACTCTTCAAATTCTTCTACAAAATAAAAACAGAAAGAGCACTGAAAATTTCTTTTTATGAGGCCACAGTCACTCTGCTACTCAAACCATACAAAGATTCAATAAAGAAACAGAATTACAGATCAGTTTCCCTCATGATAAAAATGCAAATATACTCAATAAAATACTTGCAAACTGAATCCAAGAACATATAAATAAGATCACCTACTGTGATGAAGTAGGCTTCATCCAAGAAATGCAGGGATTGTTCAACATACAAAAATCTGTTAATGTAATCCACCTTATAAACAAACTGAAAGAAAAAAATGACAACGATCTCATTAGATGCTGAAAAAGGCTTTGATAAAATACAACACTGCTTCATGTTAAAAGTCTTGTGGAGATCAGGTATACAAGCAATATACGAGCTGACAGCCAACATCAAATTACATGGAGAGAAACTAAAAGTGATTTCACTAAACTTAGGCACAAGACAAGGTTTTTGACTCTCTTTCTTGTCTATTCAATATAGTACTTGAAGTACTAGCTAGAACAATAAGACTGCTGAAGGATTTCAAATGGATACATTGGAAAGTAAGAAATCAAAGTATCTCTGCAGATGATATAATACTATATATAAACAGCCCCCAATTTATATCAGGGAACTCCTATAGCTGATGAGCACCTTTAATGTGAAGTGGCTAGATAAAGATTAACAACAACAAAAAAATCAGTAGCCCTCTTATACACTAATGATAAACTGACTGAGAAAGAAATCAGGGGAAAAATGTCCATCACAGTAGCCACAAGTAATATAAAGTATCTTGGGATAACTCTAACCAAGCAAGTCTTTGAAGAAAGAAAATGGAGAAGATATCAGAAGATGGAAAGATCTCCCATGCTGATGGATTGGTAGAATGGGATTAACATTGTAAAAATGGCCACCTTACCAAAAGCAATCTACAGACTCAAAGCAATCCCCACTAAGTTTCTAACACAATTCTTTATAAACATTGAAAGAACAATACTCAATATCATAAGGGAAAAAACCCAGGATAGCAAAAAAAATCCTGTATAATAAAAGACCTTCTTGAGACATCATCATGCCTGATTTTAAGCTGTACTATAGAGCGATAGTAATAAAAATATCATGTGATTGCCATAAAAAGACAGATTGATCAATGGAATTGAATCAAAAACCCAGATGCAAGTCCACACACCTATGTAAACCTGATTCTTGACAAAGAAGCTAAAATTACCCAATGGAAATCAAAAAAAAAAAAGTATCTTCAACAAATTGTGCTGGTCTAACTGGAATGTAGAATGCAAATGGATTCATTTCTATCCCCCTGCACAAAACTCAAGTCTGAATAGATCAAAGAACTCAACATAAACCCAGTTACACTGAATATGATAGAAGACAAAGAAAGAATAGCCATGAACATATTGACATAGGAGACAACTTCCTGAATAGAACACTGGTAGCACAGACTCTAGATCAACAATTAATAAACGGCTCAGATGATATTGTAAAGCTTCTGTAAGATAAAGGACACTATCAACAGGAGAAAATGACAGCCTATAGAATGGGAAGGGATACTTACAAACCCCACATCTGACAAAGTGATACCATGCAAAACATATAAAAAACACAAGAAGCTAGACATAAAAAGTAAATAATCCAATTAATAAATGGGGTACAGATCTACCCAGAGAATTCTCAACAGTAGAATCTCATACAGCCATTAAACATTTAAATAGATACTCAGCATTATTAGTCATCAGGAAAATGCAAATCAAAACAACTCTGAGATTTCAACTTACACTTGTCAGAATGGCTAAAATCAAAAACACAAGTGACCGCTTGGGCTGGGAAGGATGTTAGTGTAGTAAAAGTCTTGAATGGATTGTATCCAGTCTATGTTAGATGGAGTCTCTTGATAGAAGATCTCGATTGAAATCCTCAA